GATCCACTATCCGCTGAGTATTGCTGTTATGGATGGCGTCCTTCTCCCATATGTCCTTCCAGTATTGCTCGGTTTCCAGCCTTGGTGGTGCTGTTCTTATATTATTCCCTTGCCACTGAGAGTACACCCTGGCTGGTTCTGTGGAGAAAAGCTGGTTTATTCTCCTGCCTTCAATCTATTTGGTGTACATCTTCAAGCGGCTGGCCAAGGCTGTGAGTCGTTTCTTGGCAGTTTCCAAGGCCTCAGGTATGGACAGCTTGCTGTACTTCTTAGGCACCTTCTTCATTGCACATTTCTGCACCTCTGATAGTTGGCTAACCTCCCTCCATGCTATCTTGATCTTGGTCTCTAGTCTCCTTCTCCATGGTCTGCACTGCTTCTTGTAGCTGTTCAGCTTGTAGCCAAGCATCTAACTGATCACCGTTGCCGTGGTGTAGATCAGTTGGTTAGCCTTGGTAGTTGAGGTAGGTAAGCACTTGAGGTAGGTAAGGTTGAGGTAGGCTGTATTCACAACATCTAGTAGATCTAGGTTACTTCACGTAGGGTACCTCACGTAGTCTTGGTAACCGGCTACGGAGGATCCAGGTTTCAAACTTCACCATGATTCTAGTCGTGTCCAAATTCATGGGCTGCATCCTCCTGAGGACCCCGCCTTTGCGGTCTACGTGGGCCAGGTCCTCAGTAGGTTGGGTAGACCGGAAGTAAACGACTGTGAAATTGGACGGTCTTGCCTTCTGATGCTGTCTCGATGGAGTTTAATAAACTCGGCCGTCTGCTCCTTGCTATCTAAAATATAACAGGGCACTGGCGTAAATTCTCGACCGTCTCACACTTCTGTTTAATCAGTTTTCTGTTTGATGTTTTTTCAGCTGTGTGAAAACCACCCAGGGCATTTATAAAGTTTTATTTTATCTAATCTAATCTAATAACTTTAATCTCAGCGAAACCGATTTACTCACGAACAAATAAAACACTGAAAAAAGCCAAAAAATAACATTTTTAGGTTATCTAAGTGACTTATATATTACATTTAACCTGAGTAGCGAAAGTCCGCGGTGATCTGAAAATGATGTGCCGGGAGTTGTGCCGCTCTCAGCGGCTCCAGTGACCCTCGAGCTACCGGCTACTTATCGAGCTGGTGGGTAACAGATGTCTCCGAAAACGTCAGAGCACTTTTGCAAATATGCGATGTCTTGATAAACCGAGCAGATATTTGAAGTTTACACAGCTACATTCTCGCCTGAAAATATGCTAAAACTGTATTTTGTGACCCAGAAAGAGTAATAAGAGTAATATTAAAAACTTAGTAGCGGCCGCCATTGTTGAAAACTGGAATATGCTGGGCCACGCTAAGAATTCTGGGATATGGTGGGCCACGAAGGACATACCCGACCCATTCTTCAAATTCGGGGAAAAGGAGGACGCATTTGTCGGAGGAGTCTATGAATTTGGACAGTCTTTGTCGTAGGGCTGCTCGATTATGGCAAAAATGATAATCACGATTATTTTCGCTGAAATTGAGATCTCGATTATTTGACAATATTTATTTAACCCTTTAAGACATACTATAAAACCAAGTCTGCCAGAGCTTATATTATTTTTTTACATGTTGTAGTGCCATTTGTGGGAGCATTTCAAGTTGCTATACAACTGTTATAGCCCATATTTTAATAATATGTATGCATTAAGTCCATAGTAACTACATTAATTGCAAAAAAGTGCAATAAACTAAAAAAAAAATTGAAAATCGTTTTTGTTTTTTTTACATATATTTCTACTTGAAGAAATTTAAGAGGTTTATCCCTCAAAACTTTAAATACAAAAAAGTTGCAAAAAATAGTTTACAACAATAGGAAATTTATTTTGAGTGTCTTCATAGTTTTATTTTTGAGATATACCAATTTTTATATACTGCAGAAAAAACGAAAAAACAATCCTATGATGCAAATTTGCAAAGAAAACAGCATGTGCATCAAAATAAACTATTTCCAGCAATGCAATTCGAGTTCTAAGCATCCCAGAAACTATTCAGAAAAGTCAAACATGACTTATAAAAACACCAGTATAGGCTTTTAAGGCCTACAAGTAAAAAACTACATTTTCCGCGAAAATGACGTCACTTCCGGTTTCGGGCAGGAAATGGCGGACATGCGATAGTTCGCGCTGACGCCTTTTTCACTGTGGGAAGTGTTACGAACAGCTGATCGGATAGGCAAAGCGTGTTTCTGGAATATTGTGTTTTTGTTCCTGCAAGCGCTTTTTATGCCATTTTTGCAAAGCTTTATGTGGAAAGAAACCGTGACCTAGGACAAGCTGATGGCATAAGATGTAAGTACAACTCCTCTGGTTTCATATGCAAAAAAAATATTGCGGTAGCTTACACGGTTCAGGTTCTACAGGGATTTAAAAATAGTTACACAAAACGGCGCGTGCTGCTCTGACCGGCTTTAAAGGGTTAACAATAACAATGTATTGAATAATGACTTTAAAAAAAATCATATAAAATAGTATGCAACACCACTGAAGTTATTTTTTTTACCTCTCTTTTCAACCAATGGCAGTCACTCTCCTCTCCAAATAACTTCTGCTTAGCTTTCCGAGCTTCCCTCAGGTCCTCTTAATCAGCGGTCTCCAACCTTTTTTGCCCCACGGACCGGTTTATGCCCGACAATATTTTCACGGACCGGCCTTTAAGGTGTCGCGGATAAATGCAACAAAATAAAACTAGTACCGGTACCGAAAAACAGACGATTTATTCATAACACAATGAAAAGACCTAGGAAAACCGAGTTAACAATCAAAACGATAACAAAATAATGCTGAAAACCGATTAAAAACCCTGAAAACCATATGTCTGTGAAGGTTCTCAGTCATCCAGGTCATCGTAGTCAAAGGAGCTTGCAAAGAAAAGCGTCTGGACTTCTTTAAGTTGCTTGACGACGTTTCACCTCTCATCCGAGAAGCTTCTTCAGTTCTAAGGTCAAATGGTGGAGAGTCCCAGATATAAACCTAGTGG